AATCCTAATTTTAACACATATCTATACTTTCCTCAAGAAGCGTCCTGAGTCCCTAAATCACCTGCTCATAATAATACTCCTAATACCCACTAAACAACATAGAAACAAAACTAAATCACTTCCTAGGATCCCCACCTCACCCTGCCATCAGCTACCAGAAAACCCCTTTTAATGTCAGCTAACCACTTCATGAATACACTTACATGAAACGAAACATAAATCATCTTTTGAGTAAAAGACCCAACCCTACAACGGTTAGACTCAAACGAGAGTTGTGCAATAGGGCCAAATTAATCATTCAAAAATTATTTAAACTTTGCAACACATAATTTAACATATTCATTTAATATTTAACACACATCAATATGTGACCCACAAAGTACAAAGCAAGCAACATTTGAGTTGTGAAACTGTCTGGCACTAAGACACCATAAAATCAGGTAGATCCTTATGCGCAAATTTCGAACCACTAGGCCTAAGCATCAAGGATACACATACATCATGCATCTACTCTCTCAATTGTGGCTAATCATTCCTCATGATATCCTGCTATAAACTATACTCACTCATGGAACTTCCACCAACCCTATAGCCACTTGTACATGCTAATCATACATAACGCTAGATTCTATAGACAATCGAATACTTGACTCTACCTTAAGCCCTCAACCATTCTCTGACTATAAAATATTGGTTATGTACAACTATGATGCATACACTAAGGAACTATAGTAATGATGTCAATTCCATCTAACATACAACAAATTCTCCTAGGCTATCAGGCATCATGTATCAAACAATTCTATCATGCAATTCCTGAAGATCCATAACCTACTACTAGCATGTTTTTCTATCAGAATCGTCATAAGTAAATAATAGTGTGGGTAACTTCGGGTACACTTTCCTACTCCGGCTGATCATACACATCCCATCCTTCCTCTTTAACTTTTGAAAACCTTTTTGAAAATTTTTACAGATCCTTAGTTTGAGTCCAAATTCACATGTATGCTTATCCAACTCACTCAAACCACATATCTAATACCAACTTGTAATATCCCAAAAATCAAGGTAAAATTTTAATTTCCTAAACCAATCTAAAAACCATAAGTGTTTACAAAACATAATTTCCAAAAGTAATAACACGAATCAAAGTATCCCAAAATCAAATCTCATAAAAACCCAGGAGAATATGCATGATCAAACTTTTGCTTTGACCCTATCATCTGATGTACCTGAAACCATAACATCAAATTGTATGCCAATGCTTAGTTAGTTCCCCTAAAGCACCACGCACAACTAAACAGATAACAACATGCATGCATGACCATTCAACATGATTGTACCACCTCGCATGGCCTACCACCTATCTGGACCACTCTTTGGGCCTTTGGCTTGACTGGACCACCTCGCAGGTCATACATCCTATCAGAACCGCCCTAGGTATCTTGGCCTTCAACACAAAGAAGGGCCATCTCAATCCAAGAAAACAATAAGATGTCGACGTATACATTAACACTCAATAGCCAACAAATATAGGTAATCATACAGACCTATGAGTATAACATATATACAGTATAAAATCATAATATAGTGCTGTGCCATTGGTGCCTTTGACCGACAAGTATAGTGAGAAAAACTCACCTGAATCACAAAGCCGACTAAAACCCAACTTAACATCACGCCAACCACAACTAACAGCTCTTTCTCCTAAACATGCATGTTAAACAACTCCTAACAACCCATATAAGGTAAACCCTAAGTCTAACTTCGAAAATTAGAAATTTAACCAAAAGTCAAACCATACTAAAAGTCAACGGCCAATGTTGACTTCAACCGCCATGTCGTGGCCTTCCTTGGACACATCGTGGCCCACATGCGATCAAATATACAAGAAATTCCCAGCCTTCATACTTTGGTGACCTATAGCTACGATGTGGGAGCTGAGATTTTAACAACTTAACGGATTAAGCTATTTTCTCCGATTCGAAGAGCTCCAAAGCTCAGATCTGGTCCATGATATGTTTAAAATGGATAAGGCTTCAAACATTAACCATTAAGACACCCAAAGAGATTAAGATCTCCAACCCTACGTTTAAATAAAGCCAATACCACAATATCTTAACCATTAAGCCCTTAATCTAAAAATTCCATTAACCCAACCACTCCAAAAGGATTTTCTAATACCACTTATATCATAAAGGTGGAAGCTTTATATACATGCATACCAATACATGTCTAGAATCCTTTTTAGGTCAACATGGACCAAAATGACCAAAAGGGGAAGTTTTCTTATTTCTTATTTTTTTCTTTCTTTCTCTTTTCTTTTATTTATTTATTTATATGTGATTACTTTTGCTTGTACTTGATTAGAATGCACACCATTTTAAGCCTTGAAGCAATTCACCACATGAGTTGTAATAATGTTAGGCTTCATTTAGGAACCTTATTGAGAGTTTACGGCCAGGAGTTTACTCCCTTGGGCTGTAAAATCCAACATATATGGTCTTTTGACCATAAACTTCCATGAGAGGTCTTGCACTCCTTTGTTGCAACCCATTAGCCTCCTAGCACTTGACCAAACTGTTTACCTCGCATTAGAATGTTAATACATGTTCAATTAGTGTTTTAATCACTAATTGTTTATATACATATGTCTTCATATGTAATTAGGATCATTGTGTGTGTCTAAAGTCTTCACTTGACACCAAGAACTTGTCCGATCCTTCCTTACGATACAGTTCGTTCAATTCCAATCACTTACTACAAGTGAGTTCATACCCCTTAATCAATGTTTTAACTGTTTTTAAATGTTTTATGGGTGGGGGGGATACAAGTAGAATTATGCTAGTTACTATATCAATCACATATGATTATTAAGCAACATTCAAATGATTGGCTGCTCATTAGCCATTTTACCAAACAGTTTCCTTCAAATGATTTTCATAAACATTTTATATGATTAAAACTCCTTATTAAGTTGTACACTTTACTCTGTACGCTTCATTTCAAACTTATTTATATTTGTGTTTCAAACAAATGTTCTTTTATACTTAAACTGTTTTATCAAACCCACGCTTTCAAACCGTTTTATAGATTGACATCAAGTCGATCTTTTCTTAGATAATAATTATGTTCAAAGGTTTTACAAAACTTACTTTATGCTTTTATATTATAAATTGCATGCCTATATATGTATATTTATATGAGGAATGTTTAAAGGACTTAGGAAGGTTATCCACCCTATTTCCTTTTCGCGCTTGAGATGTGGTCTTGTGGGATATCGGGTACCCATCCAAAGGTTGTTTAAATATTAATTATATATCATGTGTACATATATAGTCATAAAGGTCCTTCCAGTTCAGCCAATGCCCTTAGGTAGCAAGGGTATACATCCATGTTCATACGTACCAGTTTAATTATTAGTAAGCTACAATATGGGTAGTTTAGGAAGATACTAGAACCATTAATAGAACGCGATATAATACAATGAGTCAGTTCATTCATGAGTCAATACTTGCTAGATAGAGAAAGAACACACATTACAGCTAGCACACGCAAAACATTAAAGCACATTACTTTAGATTTACATTGATACATTTACATAGAGATCCTATTATAAGCATAATTATATAAGCAATGTTTAAAGGACTTAGGAAGGTTATCCACCCTATTTCCTTTTTGCGCTTGAGATGTGGTCTGGTGGGATATCTGGTACCCGTCCAAAGGTCGTTTAAAAATTAGTTATATATCATGTGTACATATATGGACATAATAGTTCCTTTTAGTTAGTTCAGTACCTTTGAGTAGTAAAGGCATACGTTCATATACTTTTACATGATTACGCTTACATAAGTACATATACATGAATACGTTAACAAAATTGTGATCCACTGTATCGGAGCATGCCTTCAATTTCATGGCCCGAGTTGTAGCCAGAGTCTCTTGGAGGGAGAGCGTGAGTTTGCGTATAGATATATACTGGGTTGACTATCCTACACCTTGCTGCTAGCTACAGCCGGACCTGCAGGTCTGCGGGTGCCAAACGTCATTTCTTTTTATGACCTACATTTGTCGTTGTTATCCAGTCGATAGTATGGTACAATTAATCACATGATACCTTAATATAAATCCCGTTTAAGGTAGTTAGTACAATAGTAGTTCTTATAGCACTACATTACAGTACTACATTAATTTTCCTTTTTACATATACTTAGTGATCTTTTCACTTAAACATTAAATGTAAAAACTATACTTTGTTAATGATAGTTACACTTGGGAAAATTACACAATTTTACAAGAAACGAACATTTAGAACAGTTAAGTCTTGGTAGAAGGCTACATTCATAGCAGTTAGGTCTTGGTAGAAGACACCCTCATATACTAGTAGGAATCATAGGGATTTCTATGGTTTTTCAAAAGTTTACAGTTGTTTTACAAACATTTTCATACTTACAGTTCATTTACATTTACAAATACTTACATTTCAAATACATACAACTATTTACACACAAAATAACACACTAAAATACTTATGATCTCACCAGCTTTAAAGCTGATACTCTCTTTCAAAATTACTTGTATCCTCAGGTCATCAATAGACAGGTACCGATGCAAGGTTTAGAGAAGATGGAGCTCGTTCAAGAGTCATCTTTCTTTTGATTTATACTTTAGTGTCTATTATAATTTGTCAGAACACACTTGTATAATAATTACATTATCAATGCAATGGATGATGTTGTTCCTTGTTTACTACTTTTCATTGTTGTGATACTGTACATGACGTCCTCCGCCCCAGAACGTTTCCGCCGTTCTTGGTTTTGGGGTATGAGACCAACCTCGCCCACTCACTGTATCTGTATCTGATCGTCGTCGCTGCCACCTACTGTGCTCTCGCAACACTTTTTTGGTGACAAGAAGCCACCACGCTCTCTCTTTATCCCCTTTGTCCTCTACACTCGCACCACTCACTTGAGATTACTTCGAGGATTAGCAGCTTTCAGATGAGATCCAAGCACTCTATCAACCGTAAGTTTTTTTTTAATGCAAATTCGAAGTTGATATTGTCATGTTCAAGAGAAATGAATCTGAAAAAAGGGCTCAATAAAGATTGAATTTGATGTCGGAATTAATGTGCAAATACAAATTCTTTGTTCCAGTTTTGATGTCAAACCTCGCTCTTTCAAATTATTAGATGTTCGAGTGTCGTCTGCGTGTTTCTAGCCTCAAAACCCACGTCTGTATAAGGTCAAAATGCTTAAGGGTATCGGTAGTCACCCAAGGCAAAGTTCTGTTTTTGAGGTTTCAGCTTTGCTGGGATATTGGTTCTCTCAGAGTGTTAATTTTGTGATAGTAATGCCGAAAACACGTGTTTTATGAATTACTGATGAAACATGTGACTTTTTGAATTTGTTTGCTTGTTGCTCTTCTTGTTGAACACTAACTTCAATTTTACAATAAGAAACAACATTTTTGACATCAAAAGTGAAGCTTTCTTTGGCATTCCTAGAACCTAGTATACTCTTTTAAATAAAAAGAGTTGATTTTGTTCATGTACATTTCAGTAAACACTTATTTGTACATGTAAAAATGCAAATATATTGAAAGAATGAATCATATGCTGATAAAGTAAAAAGAAATTTGTATTTAAAGCTGCATATTTTCAATTCAAGAGGATAATCAGTACCAGAGAGATGTCATTTCCAGCTTTCTTAATTTGATTGTAGAGATGTGGTGCTTAGGATTTGAACATTACTGATTATATTGTTATCTGAAATTCATCTATGATTTATCCAAACAAAAACAATTTTACTGACTTTATCTTATTCCTACAGGTGCTCAAAATGTGAGCTCTAAAAGCCCACTTAGGCAATTCGTTACAGGTAAAGACAAGTCAGCAGGTAGAAATTCAAAGGGTCGTATCACAATTTTCCATAGAGGGGGAGGGGCAAAACGATCACAAAGAACAATTCACCTAAAATGCAACACTTCATCAGTAGGTGTAGTTGAACGAATCGAATACGACCCAAATCTCACTTCACGGATCGCAATGGTCAGATGGGTCGAAGGGGCAACCGTTGACCGCCCTAAAAAAGTCAACTCCCTCCAAAAAAAACTTCACCCCACCACTAAGATCCTACCCTCCATCTCCATCAAAGGTTAGTTTTCATTCTCTTCAATTCCCGGAATGTTAGATGACAAAAAGATGGAATCTTTAATGCCTAAAATAGATCATGTAGCGGTTGCACTTTCAAAAGGTAGTAGGACCTTGAGTAGTCAAAGTCAAAGTTAAACAAGGACCCACATGAGAAATGTTAAGGATGTTTTCTTATCTGCTTTTTCATCTTCAAATGGGAAAAAAGACATGATGCTCCTTCTTCGTTTGTGAAAGTGTTGGGTGTTCCAAGAATGGCGGTGGCAGGGGCAAAACCGGATTTTTTTTCCAAGAATAAAAGATGATGTGAAAGAGAATGAAAGTATGTTGCTTAATGAGGTAAAAAGGTGGGATAAGGATAGTGTTGTGTGGGGGCATAAGATGAAACGAAAAGCAGTTGATTTTTGGGGGAGTTTGAGACAAAGGGGGATTTTAGGGGTTGTTAATGAGTCAGAGTCAAAGTCAAAGGTGGGAGAAAGTGAAAAGGTGGAAAAAGATGCGAAATTTAGAGTGGATCGAGCTCCTGTGGGTTATATATTGTCTACCAAAGTGTCGATTTATTTGTTACCTAAGTATCGGTTTATCTGTTACTTGTCTGTTGTGACAAAAAAACAACATAAATCATAATTATACTTAAAAAAACAAATATTTAATTGGGTTTGTAATCAAGAGTGTACATTTATATATTATTATTTTAACATTTGCACAATTTGACATAATCGAATTTGTAATCAAGAGTGTACATTTATATATTATTATTTTAATTATATTAATAATTGTTTATATTTAGTAAACTATTTGTGCAAAAAAATTAATCGTCTCTACAATTTAATTTTTGAATAAAATATTTGCACCTGACGCTTGGCGTGAGTAAACGGCTAATATATATATATATATATATATATATATATATATATATATATATATATATATATATAATATATATATATATATATATATATATATATGAAGGGTTATTCTAAATGCACGAAAAAAAAAATTCTATATATACTTTTGTCAGTCATTTGTCATCGATTCAATTTCGTTTTTAATATATTTTATCACTTTTCATTTAATGCCCCTTATTTTTTGTTAAAGTAATAAAATTTACCTTCCACTTTTCATTTATAGTTTTTATTTTGCTGTTTTGTTTATTAATTTATTTTATTAACTAAACTTAATTTTTGTATATATAAAATAAAACACATGGTAATTATTATTATTTTCAACATTGTTTGTTTTTAATGATTGAGAATTTTAAAGTGTTCGACACCAAATAAAAAATGTTATATATATATATATATATATATATATATATATATATATATATATATATTAAAATAAAAAACGATAATAAAGTATGATCATCCCGAAGGAGGGTTTTATGAAGAATTTAATAGGTTAAAAAGTGGTACTATAACATTGAATGGAATAAAAATGCATTATATATATATATATATATATATATATATATATATATATATATATATATATATATATATATATATATATATATATATATAGAGAGAGAGAGAGAGAGAGAGTTAGCTGGGGGGTGGTTAAGATACCTGTTTCTTGGAATGAATACGTTGATGGTATCGACTCTACTCGTTACACGAAACTCGCGACTTTTTTATTAAAATATATATTTCTTGAATAAAACGTCATTAAATATTTAATAGATATAACCAATAGTAAAAAATAATATATTTAAAATTAAAATTAATAATATAATATAATATAATATAATTAATTGGGAAAAAGTTAGAGTTATAAAACATAAAAAGAAATTATTGACTAATATATATTAAATGGTTTAGAAAAAAAAAAAAAGTTTTCTAATATGATTTATTTATACGCCCGATGGTTGATATAAAACAAACAGGAAAGAGTTATAAAATAAAATAAAACTTTCTTAATTAATCATATAACAAAAAAAAAATAGTAAAGTTTAAAGTAAATACTATAAAACATTAAGTGTGTATTTTGAAAAATCTTTGGAAGTTGAGAGACAAATTAATTTTATCGTGTCAAATGTCATATTTGACCTTTATATACTAAGGATTCGTGCGTATAGGAGTACCCAATCTTAATAAGGTACTTATTTATCATGCATATGATTATATATAAAGCTCGTTGTCAAGAAGTCAACATCATGTTATTCCTTTTACAATAATAAGTATACATAACAAGTTACTTCCGAGTATATTTAAATACGTAACTTATGGCCCAAATAAATTAAATTCTCTATCACAAAATCTTAATAGTAATTAACGTACTTATTAATCATGCATGTGATTCCAAACAGAACAAATTAACCAAAACATGTTATTATTAAAAAGTAATAACAGTATAACATTGATGTTTTAAGTCACATTATGGTTTCAAACAAGCAAAAGGAAGAAATTTTAATTTGGAATTCATGCACTGTAAAACACATAAGAAAACTAATTACAAAAAGCAAGCATCTCAGGGTCACTTTGAACAACGGCCAAGTCATGCTTTCCCAAACACACGAGTACTTCAATGCCGTCCCTGTTTGGCGCATCCATCATTATAAAGCTATTCTTCCTTAGATCTCCGGCCACGGTTGCTTTTACAGGCTTTCCCCACCCAAAATCAATCTCGTATGTAGAATACCGACACAAGCTTGTAGAAAGATAAACACTATCAAATCTTCTTTGACCTTCTTCTACAGTAATTCCCGAAAGAATACCAAACGCGGTTTGGATATTTCTTATGCCTTGGAACATCATCTTTTGCTTCTTGAGCTCAGTAAGGAATGACTCCGGCTTCACTTCAGTTTGGTTGTGTGTTAGAATATCCATTACCATGAAGAAATTTCCTATACTCTTTTCAGGCAACTTCTCCGTGAATCTGCCTCTCATATTTGTCAGTTGACCAACACCGGTGGGTTTGAAACAGCCTGAATTGTTCTTGGTAGCTGCTGCAACTGCAGACTTATAAAGCAGCCAGTTCAAAACTTCAACACGAGTAGGGTCTGTGATGGGTTGTCCAGCTTCTGCGGTCATGGCTTTGACTTTGAGTTTAAGCTCGTTTATCTTTGCGTTGGGGAACATGAAACTCTTTGTAACACATTCATCGGATCCAAGTGTAAACCCATTATAATTTAGATTCATGTATTCAAAAGGAATAAAGTGGGGGTCGTCGGGAAGTGCATGTTTCTGCTCTCTGGATGATAACAATTGTGTCATTTTAGCCCAGTCGTTTAGAAAATGAACAAAACTGTTTCCATCTGCTAACTTGTGGGACAACGACATAGCCACCGCTGCTCCTCCACATTCAAAATGATTGACCTGAATGGCCAGCGGGATCACTCCGTTGCTTTCAAGATCATCGTCATCTGGACGATTGGATTTTTGATTTACGAGACCATGCGGAAAGAATTGGTCGAGATCTTGATGCTGATAATTTTTAAGGAAATCAGAGAGCGAGCTATCAATGGAAGCTTCAAGAAACTCAGCTCCTCGGTCGTTGCAATCTACAAAGGATGGTGCCACCTTGGCGAACCTACCAGCAAAAGGGTAGTACTTAGTTAAAGTTTCAGATAATGATTTCTTCAAGGGAAGTATTTTGTCATGGGAACTAGGATAAAAACCAGTGTTTGGGTAGAATGTAACAAACGGGAGAAACGTATTTATGGAGGCTTGATCGATGAACGAAAGATTGTAAGTTTTGAGGTGAGAAGGGGTCGGAGAAGAGGGCTTAATAATTTCTTTAGAGACGATTGTATGAAGCTGCCTTCTACCAAATCTTATCACGTTGCCAATCATAGTCATCTTCACAGAGAAGAAAGGGCTTTTGATGATCTATATTTTTGCGTCTTAGTTTTTCACATCTTATATGGCCATAATTTGCTTAATTAATTACAACATGCACACGATCTTTTTCACATCTTATATGGCCATAATTTGCTTAATTAATTACAACATGCACACGATCTTTTTCACATCTTATATGGCCATAATTTGCTTAATTAATTACAACATGCACACGATCTTTTTCACATCTTATATGCCAGAGTTTGCTTAATCCAATATATATTATATATATGCCATAGTTTGCTTAATCCAATATATATTAATGCACACGATACTCGCTTCCTACGGGGTTGATTGTCTCGCTTCCCACGGGGTTGATCGTTTTTATTTATATGTGCACATTGCTAGCTGTCGGCTATTCATTTCACTTTTGTATATTCTATTTATTGTACTATTATACGATATAGTTTTCTTCCACCTACGCTACTATGTTACTTTTAGTATATTAGTTTTTTAGTATGTCACGTGATCATTAACTAATGTAAAGTTTAAATAATTTGTTTAATTCTTATTTATGTTGTTTTCACATTTAGTAATTTTTAAATTGCCTTAAATATTAATCATATCTTGTTAATGTAAAAAATATTATTATTATTATTATTATTATATATCTTAGTTAGCATCATATAAAAAATAAGATGGCAAACGGGAAACAAATTGTGATGCTAAACCTGTTTGTATGGTAAAATCAATTGTTTTGAAAACTACATCCATACACGTAGGGATATAACATTGTTATGCATGATTTTATAACGTCTCAAATACTTAGAAGCAAGAAATTTATTTTTATATTATATTAACTATCAACCAAACATGTTCTTCAAAACCATAAGGAAATCAGAGTATATCAATAATCATCCAAAAATACATGAGAGTCAATAAAGCGGAAAATCATGGTATGTACAATGCGATCATCCTAAGCTTTTCTCCTTCGAACCGGAAGTACCTGAAACATAAACTGAAAATCGTAAGCACAAATCTTAATGAGTTCCCCAAAATACTGCATACCATACATATATGTAAGATCAAGGTTGTACCGGGTCTATTTCACCCCAAGACTATTTCACCCCCTGAGTCTATTCCAACTCATATGTCAGTACAAGGTTTTACGGGGTCTCTCTCTCTCTCTCTCTCTCTCTCTCTCTCTCTCTCTCTCTCTCTCTCTCT